TCGTACTCTCAAATATGTTCTCTCTAACACCTTTTTTTTTTTTTCTTGTGAAAGCTGAAATTAGCACATTATCTTGGAGTCTGAAGAGCAAAAAAATCCCCAAATACTGCAAGGAGTGAATGATAAAATCAAAAGTGGACTTTGAGCATCTACACCAGAGCACTCAAGATAATTAAATTATATTCATTTTTGAGGTGAGTTAGTTGAGCACTGCTTAAAACCCTGTTTAGCCTTCATACCTGACAATCAGAGTGGCTTGAATTTGGTTTCACTAAATTTAGTTTGGAACCAAATCAAGTTTCCATGAGATCACTTCCACCAAGAACAGGAGCGACCACAAAGGGGCTCAGAGCCCTTTAATGCACTTGATCTGCACATCACCACTTTGATAAAAATAACATTTAAATAAATAAAATTATAATAAAAATTAATAAAAATCAACTTCTGCCCACCCCAGTGCAGACAACCCCACAGTTCTCTACACCTAGAGGTGCAATAATGCTCCTTTTTCAGCTCAGTTCTGCTTCAGTTTTAATGTTTAATTATCTCCAATGCAGCAACAGCCACTCCAGAAAGAAATCAATGCTCCCTTTGCTCCCAGCTCTAAATGCATGTATTCCACAATCCTCACAGAACAGACATTTGGGACTGCACATCTGGGGAGCACATGAGAGACCACCTCAGCTATTAAATTATTTTGCAACCATCCCTCTCAAACCCAGCTCTGGATGTTTTTTTCTCCTTCATTTTGCTACCAAAAAAAAAGAGAGAGTGATGTTTTGAGTTTATAAGATATTCATTAATAAAATCTCAGCTGCATTACTGGGATGTTTTTCAGTCCCAAAAATCCCCCACTACACCTTAGGTATCTTATCTAGAGGGTTTTGATGTGCTGGTACTCTCTGTTCCTGCCATCAGCCCTGGGACTCGTTTCTCCCCTTGCTGACTCTCAGCTGCCTCTGGGGTTAACCTGAGCACTCAAACACCTTTCCAGGACACCCAGGAAAGGAGAAAAAAAAATCCCCAAACCAGGAAAGGAGAAAAAACAACCCCCAACCCTCCAGAACAGCAAGGAAACATGAACTGGATTCACATCTCCAGTGCTGACAGCTCCCAGGGGTCTGCAGGAGGAGAATTCCCACTGCACAGGAGCTCCTGGGGAGGGCTCTGGGGCTCCTTTGAGGGTGTCAAACATTTTATTTATTCTGTTTTTCCTTCCTGAATTCCCAAAGCTGCCCAATGGATGCAGGGAGGAAAATATCAATGAAATGAAAGGCCAGGATGATGTGGAGAAGAAGCTGAGTCTCAGAAGGAGCCAAAGTGGGCAGAGCAGAAACTTTCCCCCTGTCTCACACCACCCTCTCCACAAGAGCTGAAACCTCTGCCAAAACCTGGATTTCAGGGAGGGAATCACAAAAATCACCAAGCTGCAAACTTCAATTCATAAGCAAAGCACAAAAGCTTTTTGGCAGAGGTGGCACAAGAGAGGGAGAACTGAGAACTTCAGGTTCCACTCCAGCCTGTCAACTGCCCATTATTTTCCCACTTCAACTAAAAATTTTCCTCGAGTTAAAATCAGGGAAATAACATTTTGGGCAACTTTTCTCCAGTGAAATGCTCCCAAAAAACCCCATGGGGTGGGTTCTAGCCAGAACTGAGTCTGGGTGTTTCAGAGAGCTGTTGTAGCCCCAGCCCTGGGCTGATGCTATCAGATAAGGATTCATATTTCTCCCTCTTTCTCTCAGGTTTTCCTTGGAAGTCCAAAAAATCACTCCCAGAAGCACCCAGAGTATTTTCTGTGCTGGAGCTGCCTCTCATTCCCTCCCTCCCTCTGTTTTAGGAGAGTGGAAATGCTCTGAAAAGGCCGGATCTTGGCTGATTTTATTGCTGCTGGGGGCCAAGTGAAAAGGGTGAGACCCATAAACACAGAGATGCCAAGATACCTGGAGGCTGCAGCTCTGGCTGCTTTATTCCCTAGGAATAATCAATGTATTGGCAGAGATCATCTGTAAATACATATGAGGAAAGTGGAGGTGCAAAAAAATACTCTTTAATTTCTTATTATATCCCTGTGCCCCTTCCATAAATCCTAAACTTTCTCTTTATTCACATTTCTTTTTTATTATTTATTACATTTTACATAATGTACATTTATATTTATATATTTATATAGTATATTGATATATTTATACACTATATTTATATATTTATATATTATATTTATATATTATATTTATATATTATTATTTATATTTATATTTATATTTACATTTACATTTACATTTATGTTTATATTTACATTTATTTATATTATATATATACTATATATTATATATGCATCTACATCTATTATATTTATATTTATATTTATATTTATATTTATATTTATATTTATATTTATATTTATATTTATATTTATATTTATATTTATTATTATTATTATTATTATTATTATTATTATTATTATTATTATTATTATTATTATTATTATTATTATTTATCACCTACTTTTAATTCACATTTCCACTCTGAGTTGACACCTCCTGTTCTGCTTTTTCCCCTCTACAGGTGCTACCAAAATATTTCTGCACAAAACCTTTGGGGTAAGAAAACCAAACATATACAGCTGTGGGACACAGATCCACTTGAACCCAAATCCCACAGAAATTAACCAGATTTAACTACAAACTTTAAATCCAGGCCAGGGTGGATGAGGTTTCACTACATTCAGCTATCCCAGGCTAATTTAGTGCTTTCTGTGGCAGCAGCTCTGAGAAAATCACCTGGAAATTAAATAGAGGCAGCTCCAGAGCTGTGTGCATCCCTGTGAATCCTGACCTTCCCTGCTGGCCCCTCTGCCCTGAGCCACTGCAGAAACCCCAGGGCAGCGACTCCTGGCTCAGCCCTTCTGAAGGATGAGCCCTCCATTCCCAGGGAAGGCTCTAAATTGGAATTATGCGAACTCATGTTTTGATAAAGGCTCTCCTGTGCTGCAGAGCGGTCTCAAGTGCAGGAAATCACCCCAAAATCGCCAGGCTGGGGAGCCAGGAGTGACTGATTTCATCCAAAACCTCAAGGCAGGCGGGAGGAGGGATCACTGCAGCCATCCCAGCGCTCCCTGCATCCCAAAGATACCGAGCTTTCCAGCAGAGCTTTCCTCCAAGGAAACTCAGGAGCAACAAGTTTTTCCCTGGAGAATTCCTGGGGCAGGAGGGAAAGGCTGCAGGGCACCAGAGCAAACCCCACAGAGCCCCAGAGAATAATGAGAGGGGCCAGGTGCTTCAGCTCAGCACTTGCAGAGTTTAAACCTCATTTAAGGTTATATTTAAGTCTATAAAAAAGCTGAACAGGAAGGTAAATGTGATACAACGTAAGATAAAATTAAAATTAAAAAATAATCCATCGCCCTGCCCACCAAAATGAGTTTTCAGCACAAAACCAAGCCGACAACACAAATTTCCAGTGCTGAGCTCTAAGAACACTCCTAGGCCATCAAGGTGAGGCTTTTTCATTCAGGTTCCCAAACTAAGATGTCATTGTAAGTGGTTTAGAAGCCCAGCAAATTTTAATATCCATGCCAACGTGTGTGACCAAAGGGATTACCCACAATGGCTCACCTGATTAGTTATACAAATGCCTGCCTTTTTTTTTTTTTTTTTCCTTCTTTTTTTTCTTTTTTTCTTTTCCCCTTTTTAATCCAAGACCGTGCAGAATGCCAAGAGGGAGAATGGCCCATGTGCTGGAATGTCTGAGGGCTACAGCCTTGGGATTTATATTCCATGTTGAATTCATTGTTCTCCCTCCTACCCCTGCTGCCCTCTAAAATATGCTGCAGCCATGACAGAAATAAATTAGCCTGAGGTACAGGTCACACCTTCAAGGGCAGGCAGAACTCTGGGTAAAATCAATAGAGGAGATGGGAGTCTCTAACAGCTGAAGCAGAAAGAATGACGCATTGAGGGCTTTACACATCCCCAGACAAAGGCACTTTGGAGAAACCCCGGTCCCTGCTGCCTCGGGAACACAAAGCTCGTTTTTTCAACCACCTGAACCCCAAGAGCAGCTCAGAAAAGCCCCATTTCTATGGAGAATTTGCATCTCGATTTCTTTGCACCCCTGCCCGGGGAAGGGGATTCAGATGCTGAACTCTGGCTCAGGTTGCAACTCTGAAGGCTTTTTTTTTTTTTTTTTTTTGCAGAGAGCAGAATCTGCACTGAACTTCAGCTTAAATTTTTCAGCACTCTCCAACCTCTCAGGGGATTGCCTCAAACCAAAAAACCAAAAAACCAAGAACTCCCCTGAACTTCAGTGAACTCCAAAACGAGGCACCAACAGATACAGAAATATGTGTTGCACTCATTATTTTAATTTGTGATTTGAAACCAATGGATAATACATTCAAAACCATTGAGAGCCTCGAACTCAGAATTTCTGAATGCCAGTTCCTCTGAAATCAGGAGACAGAAGATTTACAAGGATTTGGATATGGGAAGATTGAGGCAGGAGTCAAGTGGGTTTTGTTAATGTCCCTGTGGTGGGTTAAGTATTAACTCTCAGAGTGAGGCTCAGAACCTGTTCAGACACTCCACAGATCCCACGGGGTTCCCACCTGCCTTTCCAGGTTCCTAAAAGCTTTGAAGCCTGATTTAAGCTCCCACAATACTTCTAAAAATAGGAGTTAAACTTCTCAGTCCCGCAGGAGTTTCTGAAATTGCTGCCCAGGAGGTTTCTCAATAGACAGAGCTAAAAGCTTTTCTCCTCTCCTGTCCCTCCCAGACTTCTCCAGAGACAACTTTGGCCCAAATGCAGCTGGATCTAAATCCAAATGAACCCTGATTTTCTGCAAAGCCAGCAGGAAAATGTCAAATAAGTAACTTTCCCCTGACCTCCTTGTTTGTTTGCTTTTTTAGAAGCCCCACACAACGTTAACACGTGTCTTGTGCTTTCATCGTTAGACTCACGCTTCCACCTATGGCAAAATAAATTGTATTTGTACTTACATTTGTGGAGCCTGTGTGGGAAATAGAATTGCTTTCATTTCCACTGCTACCTGCAAAAATAAAGGGAGGAATTCACCATTAACACCAGGAATTGTCATTTGCTCACAGTCACTGTCCCATGTCTCAAATGATGCAGCAACGCCTGTAACACCTCTCTGCCTTTTAGGAAAAATCGGGGTCAGTTCAACACCTTGAGGGAAAAGGTTTTATTATGAACTTGTAAAGAGGTTTCCAACTCCTCCATGGCTCTTTCCCTGCAGCAACTTCCATGTGCTCATCCTGGGGACAGGGAAGGTGGGGAAAGAAGAACATTCTGGATGTTCCCAGGGGCGTTTCCAGCTGCAGGATCCTGGGCAAACATCAGGCAGAAGAGCCCCCAGTGGCTTGTCCTGCTGTTCCCTGGTTCTTCTCAAGGACAAGAGGGAGATGATAATGCACATTTCTGCCTGAGATACCTCAAACACTGCCTGAGGCACCATTTGCAGTTTTCCCCTTACACTTCTGCACTAGACATGAAAAAACACCGTTTTTAATGCCTCCTCCAAAGAGATTCCATGTCCTCATCTAGTGCAGCCTCCTCGAAAATAAATCATGCCTTGTTTCCCACTTCCCTGTGCTCTCCCATATGGAGAGCCGTGTCCATAAAGGGTCCTTTATCTGCACAGATCCCATTTAGGAATGTGATCTTTCCTAAATCACATTTAGGAATGACCCATCAGCGATACCCCCATGTGGGGGCTGCTTCCCTCATCCCAGCTGCCTCTCTTTCCCAAGGGATTTAGCCAGGGTGTTTCAGATGGATCTTGACATCCCTATCCTCAAAATGCTCTGAGAAACCCCCATCTTCAAAAAAAAAAAAAGCATGTGTGAGCACTGGGAGGTGCCTGAAGTGCTCCAGAATTCCAAGGGCACCAGATTCCTGCTCTGCTCATCCCTGCAGCTCAGGGGGATGGGATCCAGCCCACTCCTCTCCTCCTGCTTCCTCCATCCAAATTTCACCTCTGCCTCTTGATTGTGGCTGGATTCAGATGGAGACATCTCCACTTCAAAGAGCAAAACCATACATAGAACTTCAGAGAGACACATTAAGATTTCCCCCCCCCCTATTTAAATTGTTAAAAAAAAACAAAACAGGATTCAGCACAAAGATAGAAGACAGATAATGAGGTTAAGCACATTTGCAATGGTTTGCTCCACTCTGGAAGTAAATGAAAGCTTAGAAATGGGTAAATGAAACCTTAGAAAGACCTGGGCCTTTCCAGGAACTGTGGAATTCCCCTCCCTTGGTTTGGAAATAAAGAAGGATTTAAATGCAACCAACAAACAGGAGCAGACTTGCCTTGGGAATACCTGGGTAGGTGGAGGAAGAAATCTATCAGCATTTAAGGATGGAAACAAAGAAGGACAGGAAACCAAATGGTTTATTGGCCAAAATCTGGCTAATCCTCATTTAATGGATCTGAGTATTCCACATCACAGGTGAAAGTCTGGACTCCATGGACCAAGAGTTTTTTCCACTTTCAACCTTTGCAAACCTACAAATTGCAAAATTTCAACCCTAGGGAGGGAAATTAAATAACTGCAAAATATTTCCTGTCCCAAATGATAATTTTACAGATGAAGTGGGTTTCTACAAGCTGGATTTGTGCAATTTGGATACCTGCAAAGGAACAATGGGGGAGGCCACGTTGTTTGTGCCTGGATGAGGACAATGCTTTGCCTCTCCACGGCCACTGGATCTGGGATAAATCTCAGGCACCAAAAGTCCCTGTTCAAAAGTCAGACGAGGATGTTCAGCTTTGCAGCCTGCCTTTATTCATCTCTCAAAGCACAAGGCATTTCTTTCTCCCATAAATATGCAAAGTGTCTCTCCAAAGACCCTCCCCATTTCCCAGGAAATGGAGGGCTGGAATGCACAGGGGGGAGAGAGCCCCGTGGCCACACCATGTCCATCTGCAGCTCCACCATCCCCAGCAGGCCCCCAAATCAAAAGGCAAAGACATTTCCCCAGCCTTCCCTCGCCAAAAATCCCCTCGGATCTCGGGGGTGAACCTGGGGAAAGATCAGAGAGCTGCAGCTTTGGGTGTCTGCAGATTCCTTCTGCCTGGCCTGGGCAGGGGGCAGGTAATCCCAGTGGGAATCCAGCAAAACCCACTCCTCCTCTCCCCCTCTGCACTGAGGAGGTTGTGCAGAGCTTTTTTAGCAAAATTCATGGAGTTTGCAAAGGTATTTTCCACTCCTAATCCTCCAGCTAGGAGTTATTCATCATACCTGCTATCCCATTTTTCCCTCCTGAGATCCTCTGCTTTGGATAACTCCCAGTTTAGAACAGCCAAATAATAAACACACAGCTTTTGAACACAAGGATTTCACATTTGCACGTGTTTAAGTCATTTTGTCCATTTCTACAACTCAATTATCCAAGTCTGTAGCCACTCCTCAAACACACAAACTTAAATCCCAACTTTTGATAAGCCACAAAACTATTCCCAAGTATATCCGAGGAGAAAATTTAACACCAGAACCTGCCAAATGTTTCTGGCCCACTTCAAACAATCATTAACTACAGGCAGTTTCTAATTATTTAAGTCCATTTAAGTTCACTTCTTATTCAGTGGTCATTTTGTTCCTTGGCCATTTGGCGTATGCTGAGAAAAATCTCTATTAGGCAGCACAAAGTCTCACAAAAAGAAGAAAAATTCTCTTTCCCACTTCTAAGGTTGGGAATATTTTGAATCCTTGAGAGACAGGAGTTCTAAGTATGCTTTTAAAAGCAAAAAGTAAAAAGCACATAAAAATAGAAAAGCTTAAAAATTCAGCCACTGAGTAAAATTTAGTTATCAACTAAAATTGCTTTCTCTCACCTCTCTGCTAGCAGTTTTGCAATTCCTTTTCCAGAAAGAACTGGAAAATGTATTAAAGGCAAAAAAAAACATCGATGCTGGGACTGGGAACAATCACATGAACAAGCCACAAGATTTGCTTGATAACACAGAGTTTATTATTCAAGAACGAGTCTCATTTTCAGCTCTGAGGCAGAGGGCGGGGAGAGAAAGGGGGGAACAGACTTTTAAAGCACACGCTGGAAGCCCAGGATTGCATTTGTAGGAAAAAAGAAGAAAGAGAAGAAAAAGTAAAGAAAAGAAATCTCTAGCAGCAAGTCGACTTTGCAAAAGTTAAGCTCAGCTCCCAGCAAATTCAGGCTGTTTTCACTTAAACCGAGTTTACCTTCAGCAGAGAGAATGAACAAGCAGAGAACTGCTGAACTTTTGGTGGTTTTTTGGTTTTTTTGTTTTTTTTTCTTTTTTTTTTCCCCCAAAAGTCCAGCTCTGCTCAAGATGGGAAGGGATAGAGGAGAGCAGAAACAGGGGAGTTCAAAAGTCACAAAAGCTGCTCGCAAAGTTCCTCTGCGCCCCCTCGTACTGACCTAAGCAGTCTTCATTTCACAGGTAGCAAAGTTTTGTCTCCTTCTCCAGGGCGAGATTCCCACTGGCAGGAAAGCATCAAAAGAACATTATTTGCACTCCGAGGAGGAGGAGGGAAGGGAAAAGCGCAGCCCAGCCAGGTGCTGTTTCTTCCTGAAAAGTAAATCCGGCATTCTGGAACGAGTTCAAACCTCAGGCTTGACAGGCAGGGGAGCGAAGCTTTTTGCACTGAGCATGCTTCATCCTGCACTGCCTGCACACTTAATGAACATTACTTCCTTCCCAGTGGTTACTCCGAGCAGAAATCCACACCCCCTCTTTGAGAAGTGAGGAATGCAGCTGAAACCAAAGTCCAGAAAACATGCCCGGCACCCAGACAAGGCCCCACGGATCAATAAACTCAGGTTGTGACCCGCAGGTCACTTTGTCAAACAGGACATCAGGCTGAGTTTTTTCTACACTTGGTGGAGTTTGCTTTATGCCTCAGCTAATGCTGCTCGCTCCCCAGAGAAAATAAAACTGCGCTGGCTTTTAGAGAATGATTAAATGCTCCAATAACAGATGGGAATTCTCTTTCAAATCTTGTCTTTCCAAACCTGCTTGAAAGTGAGGAAAGAAGTTGTGCTTTTTTTTGTTTTTTTTTTATCCCCCCCAGACTAAACTGAGTTCTTGGACTCCTGAACAAAAGCTGTTTGAATTTGTAGTAGGGAAGGAGTATCTGGTGACTTCAAAAAAAAAAAAGCAACAACAAAAAAAAAGCTCCTTTTATTTAGTTAGGGTCTAATCCTGTTCCGTTTGCAATCACATGGAGTTTTGTCATTACCTCCAGTGGGAATAGTGCAGGGGTTTTAGATTACAAATGCTTTCAGGCAAGAGCTGTGTCTACTCCAGTGACCTGCACAGGCCAGACTGGTTTTGGCACTTCAATTTGCAATTTACACCATTGCTGTGCCTGAACCCTGCACAGCAGCAAACCCCCCCCTGTCCTTCCCCAAATTCACAGGGAATTGCTGAAGAGAAGCAATTTTGCAAAACTGCATGGGCTGTTTTTAAAGCTTTTCATTGTATTTCTGGTTTTTCCTGGAGGTTTCACTTTGCTCTCACGTCTCAATCCTCCACAAGAGGAGTAGAAATGGAGCTTTATTGTCCTGGAGTCTCTCCCTGCCTGCCCCATCCCAGCCTTCAGAAAAAAGCCAAGTGCAAGAATTAAAATGAAATAACACAGGCCATAATATTGTCAGGGTAAGGAACAGTAATCCCAATCACAGCTGCATGGGACATTACACTCTGAGGCCTCTAAATTTCAAAATAGGTTAAAACTCATTGTGACCTCAGTGTCTGAGCAAAGCCAGGCTCCACAGGGCTGCAGGTCCTGATGTGAGCAGGACAAACCATGACAGAAATCCAATTTCTGGAGTCCAAATGGCCCAGACCTTGAGAACATAGACCCAATTTAGCCTGCACATTCTGACAGTGCACAGTGGGAATATATTCACACAAATCCACTTCAGAACCACTTCGCTCCTAAGGCCAGCCAAGTGATGTCATTTCTTTAAAAAATTGTTTCCTTGCCCACACATCCCTGGTCTCCCTTGTTTCCTTCAGGATCATAAAAGTCCAAATCCTACATGACAAAACCAAGCTGTGCTGCATTTCCAGTGCACAGAGCTTAAAGAGGTTTTGGAAACCCCCAGAGAAAGTTTTTGGCTGCTTTGGAGAAGCAGCCATGGCTGGCTAATTAAACCCAAATGCAGTAACCAAAAAGCTTTTCTTCTTTCTTATTTCCACCGCACGTCCCAAAGCTTTCCTTTGGTCAGGAAGGAAAGTCCCTGGTTCCCTTTGGAGGGATAAAGCCCCTAACAGGGGACTTTCCTAACAGGCAGCTAAATTGGCATTTTATCTCCCCTGGACCATCTCAGGAGCTTTTCTGGGATGTGCCAAGAGCTAAAATCATCAGGTGTTCTTTGATGTTCATGGGGAGCAGGGGGACAGGGGCTGAAAGGATTTACCCAGAACTCTGAAGGGATGGATACAAGGCTTAAACACAGAGTGCTGATTTCAGACATCCTCACGGCCCTCAGCTGTTCAAAGAGCCCTGAAATGCTTTGGGTTGGAAGGAAACTTAAATCTCATCCCATTCTACCCCCTGCCATGGCAGGGACACCTCCCACTGTCCCAGGCTGCTCCAAACCTCATCCAGCCTGGCCTTGGGTACTTCCAGGGATCCAGGGGCAGCCACAGCTTCTCTGGGCACCCTGTGCTGGGCCTGCCACCCTCTGAGTAAGGAATCCCCATTCCTGCAGCCCAGCTGGATGAACAGGGCACACCTTGAGCTTGAGGTGCCACCAGGAGCGGGACACAGCAGTGAAGCACCTTTGGAGCACCGCGCTGTGACACCGGGGTGGCACCTGCTGAGGGGACAGCACGACAAGAGCCCAGCTAACCCAGAGCTGAAGTGTGCCAGCCCTCCTGCCACTCACACGAGAGCTGTGTAAAACATTCCAGCTGCACCCACAAACCCCAAACCCCAACATCACAAACCCCAAATCCCACCCTCACTTATCCCAAATCCCACCCTCACCAATCCCAAATCCCACCCTCACAAACCCCAAACCCGACCCTCACAAACCCCAAATCCCACCCTCACTTATCCCAAATCCAACCCTCATAAACCCCAAATCCCACCCTCACTTATCCCAAATCCAACCCTCACAAACCTCAAATCCAACCCTCACCAATCCCAAACCCCACCCTCACAAACCCAACCCTCACCAATCCCAAACCCCACCCTCACAAATCCCAAACCCCAACATCACAAACCCCAAATCCCACTCTCACCAATCCCAAATCCCACCCTCACCAATCAATCCACCCTGTTGCCCCCACATCTCCCCAGGGCTGCTGGCTGCATTTTCCTGGTGGCTGCCCAGGCCTGGGAGCTGCAGGCACATGGCAAATGTGCCGTGTGTGTCACACTGGGGGGAGCAGACTGCTGATTCCCTTCATGCCTAATTACCCAGGAGCGCCTGGCACGATGATTTATTTAGCACAGCGCTGGCCCAGCTCTCAGACAGGTCCCGTGTCCAAGTGGAAAACACGCTCCCTCCCGTTTTCCTGCTGAAAGGAAAACCAGCCAGGGCATCCGAGGCCACAAAACTCTTCTCTGCAGTGATGTAGGAGAAATTGTGTGGACCACTGGATGCCAAAGTTAGGGTGGCTGCACTTCAGAAGGAGCTCAGAAATATATCTGTATCTCCATCTGAAAATAAATATATTTTTATTGTATTTTTCATATATTATTTTTATATATTAAGTATGTCTATTATGTTCTGAGACACAAATGACATGTTTTTGAGAGGAATTTCATTTCACACAGAGCTCAGTCCCACCTGTGACCCTGCAGCTGGGACAGGTAACTCCATTCAATGCCTGAGATGCTTAAACACCCTTTAGGCTCTGAAATAAATGGCAGAAAGTCGGGCAGGATGGAAAAGAGCAGGGAAAAAAGGGACATTCCCCATGTTTAGAAGCTGTTAGATGGACAGCAAGAGGAGAACACAGCCTCCTCCAGGAGCAGGAGCCCTCAGAGAGCGGCACAAGCCTGGGGCAGAGGATTGCTTGGGGTTTGGGCTGCTGGCCACAGGCTGTGTTGAACCCCTGGAGCACAGACCTGGAACAGCCTTGCCAGGGCGATCCCAGAGCCCAGCAAGGCATGGCCACCACATCCAGGAGAGGACCATTGTTCCTTCAGAGCTGCCACTTTGAACGAGCGCCAAACCTCCGCCTCTCCGGAGCCAACAGCTCCAGCTGGGACAGCTTTGCCTCCGTCTTTTCCCCCTCAGGACGCATAAAATGCGTTCCTGCTCTCCTTCCTGACACCAGAAAAGCCTGGATTGCTTCCCATTGTGCTGCTAGAGCTTGAAACGTGGCCATGCTATTTACAGCTTCTTCTTTGCCCGGAGGGATTGGAGGCGCATCCCGATTTTTCCACCATATGCAAGCAGCAGGCACTGCTGCATGTGCCAGCGCCCTACCTGTCCAGGCTGCCTTGTGGCTGCTGGAAGCACTACAGAGGGAAAAAAACTGGATTTCCCCAGGAATTCTGTCTGCATCCCCATTGTTCTCAGCTCTCAGTTGCATCCATCCTTCAATTCTTGGTGGGAAAGGACAAATTAAAGCAAGGCTCCGAAGGGCGGGGCTCGGTTTTTGGTCTTCTGAAGTGTCATGCTCGCTTTTGGCCACTGAAGAGCTTTTCAAAGGCTTTCAGTGACTCAGAAGCCTCAAATCTCTCAGTTTTCAGTGGGAGTTGGGCTCCTGGGCTCCTGCTGGAGCTGCAAAAAGCATGTTCTGCATGTGAGTGTCCTGGAGAAACATCCTGGCTTTTCCAGGGACATTTGACAGCCCTGGGAGAGGCTCTGGCTGTTTGGGTTGGGATATAAGTGGGGTGACTTTTGGAGCCTGTTGGGGAGGGTGGAGCTGGCCCTGCTGCTCCAGCAAAGCTTATCCCAACCTTGCACCGAGAGAAAAAGTGACCCAGGAGATTTTATTCCTACAAAGAACCCAGCCAGATTTTAGATAATGCTGTGTCCCCAGATGTCCCCGAGAGAGAAGGCTCCAAGAGATGGACCAGATAAGAGAGCCAAGGATGGACCTCCAGAGTTTGCTTTGCCTACCAGAGGCAAAGCAAAGTCTGACCCAAAGGGACTTTGGGGCTGTTTCTGTTGGGAACTCAGTTAAGGAAATTAAGATTGTAAATCCTGCTAAAGAGCTCCTTTGGCCAAACCCCCAATAGGCAGAATCAGAGGGAAGAAGTGGAGCAGAAAAGCGTGTGATGTGCACAAAAATTTCCCAAATTATAGGTCTCTTCCAACTTTGGGAACTATGAAATAAAGAAGAATGTACTGCATTAATTTGATGGAGCACTGAATAAGAGTAGCTGGTGTGCAGCCATTAATCCAGATGTGTTTAATGTTAAATCACAAGAAAGTTGAACTTTGAAGATGGTGCAAGGACAGAGCAGGAAGCACAGCAGCTCCCAAGGCTGTACCAGCATCCCCTCATCTCCCACACAATTTTGGGCCAGGCCTTTACATCTCTGATTAAAAGTAACCAAAGGTTGCAGTGATAAAGCTGAGACAGCAAATAATGAAGGAAAAGTTACAGCCACAGAATTCCAGGGGACTCAACTCAGTTTAAAAAATTAGATTAACGATTTTTTCAGTGTCTTGTTGTAGGGTAATAAATGA